TTTTCTCTCCCTTATTTTTAAGGGAGGGATTTAATTACACCCGCTGATGGATTAGAATAATTTCCTCTTTTAAACTAACTTGTAGTCCTATTGGCCTTTCACAAGATAATGAAAACATAGGGAGAGAGGGTATTAGTTGGGAGCGCCACCGTGGATGCATATGTCTAACAGGTTGTGTTTTCGTTGAGTCTCAACGTACTTTAAGTTGACTTTCTTTTAATGTAATTTTTTTTCCAGAGTTCCTCAGATAGATGGACAGCCATATAAATCCAATGGATAAATAAATGTGAGAGTGAACAGGTGTGACATCTGTCACCCCATTGATTAGCAGATTTCATTTGGCTGATCTGTCTGGCTAGGCGGGTGTCCCCCTCCTTCCTTATCATTCCATGTTTCTCTTTCCTGAAGCTGTGCTGGGTGGGACAGGACAACCAATCCCAGATAGGAGTGTATCATCTTCAGCCAATAAATAAGGAAAGGAGAAGGCTAGGAATATGGGGACTGCCTTTACTGTGGTCTCAGTGTTGGCAGAGAACCAGTCCTGGGAGGGATCATTTTGATCCTACCCAGAGTAAATCTCTCTTAAAAGACATCACTCTCTCCAGCAATAAGAAAGTTCACCCAATTTCTAGTGCTCCCGTAAACAATCGTGAGGAGAACATAGGATTGCTTCTTTAATCCAGAGCCAACCATTTGTGTGTTTAGACAAAGAACGTCATTTTGTGCAAGATTGAAGAAAAGTGACCTGAAGGACGGTCAGGTGCGTTTCATATTTTTATTGTAGTTTCCCACATCTCCCCCATTTGTGCATACTTACCGCACACATGCCAATGCATTTTAATTGCCAAGTTAGATTGGATCAGATATCATTGGTTACCACAAGGTAGTAACCTTGTAGCCCCTTTCCATAAGAGGTCAATTTTTAATGCAGCCATTCTGTAAAAGAGATAATTCCACCCATTCCTGTTCCAATTTCCATAACCTTCAGTTTATGGAAAGAAAGAAAATGCTTTCTATTACCTTGTATGTCTTTTTCTGGCCCAGTCAGTATCGGCTGTGTGAAATCAACTTCCCTTGTCCCCAGTTTTGTGTAAAGAAATTGTAAAAAAATAAAATAAAAAGACAATATGGGGAAAGTATTTTAAGAAGTTATTTAAGAAGAAAAAGAAACATTTTTATATTATCTGCCTTTGTCCTTTATGAACTTGAAATGTTGTAGTTTTCTAATCGTGTTTTGTCAGCAACAATAGACGAGTACTCTCTGTTAATCATGGAAAAGTGCCCTAAAATTGAATGTTTCTGAACATTATTCTTGCACAATTTAAAATTGAAAAAGAAAATTAAAAGTTGTTTTTCTTTTTGTTTTTGTTTTTTTTTTACCTCACTTGTAGGACATACATTCCAAGCTTTTCAACTTTGAAATAAATAATCATAAGTTTTCTTGTAAATTTTAACTATTTCATATGCATTGTATTAAAACTGCCATATCAATTTTAATGTATAGATTTTTGCAGATATTACGCTATGTATGTAAACTGTTATCTGTAGTGTATATGTAATATATTTATGCCCAATAAATGTTTTAATTCTTTCTTGATGGCAAGGTTCATTATGCGAAGGTTCCTCCGTGAAAATCCTTGCCCCTATAGACAGGGGTGGGTTCTACTTACCTTTACTACCGGTTCGCAACGGGATCACATGCATGCCTTGCTTCTGCGCATGCGCAGATCGCTGATGATGGTATCCGGGGCGGTGGGCGGGGCCTCCCACTGGTTTTACTACCGGTTCTTGCAAACCTGTCCGAACCGGGGGCAACCCACCACTGCCTATAGAGCTCAACTGGAGGATGTGTAAGAATTGCAAACCACAGAATTCCTAGCTAGCAGGGTAGCAATATTAGGCAACTTTATAAGGAATTATTTTCTCCATGTAATAGTTATGCCAAAAACCTTCTCACAGTTTCATCACAACCACAACTAGAACCAGAATTTCCATTGCTAAGCAAAGCAGTTGTTAAGCGAGTTGCACCCAATTTTATGACTTCTTTTCTGTGGCTGTTAAGCGAATCTCTGCAGCTAGGTGAGTCACCTGATTTTAAGTAAATCCAACTTCCTCCCTTGATTTTGCTTGTTGGAACAGTTGCAAATGGCGGACATGTGGCCCTAAGACACCGTAACTATTGTAATACAACTATTGGGATGCCAAGCATCTAAATATTGATGATGTAACTGTGGGGATGCTGCAGCGGTTGTAAGTGTGAGGACCAATCATAAGTAACTTTTTTCACTGTTGTAATTTAAATTTTAAGTGGTTGTAAATTGAGGACTACCTGTATTCATATTGCTTTTAACTTCTCTTGCGGGTCCAAATTTCTTATGGTTTAGCCTTTCTTTCTGCAGATGTGAGGCAGATGCAGGCATATTTCCTTTTACAAAAACTCTACAGTCCCATTTTCTTAATCTGTGAGGTTTATGACACATGTTTCCACCCATGAACATCTTTGGAGAGGACTTGGAATCTAGTTTTCTAGCTCCAAAGTTCTTGATAGACTTGGGCCTTTGTGTCACATTCATCTGTCCCTCCATTCCCTCTGCTTTTATCTTCTGAGAGGTTTCTTGGTGCTGTTGCCACCAAATCAAGAAGTTTTTGTTTCTTCCTCTATCCAAGAGTTGCAATTGAAGGCATTTTACCCAGGGGTGGGCTTCAAAAATTTTAGCAAGGGGTTCTCTTCCCAGTTGCTGGGTGGGCGTGGCCTAGTCGGCCTCCTGCACCATGGCAAGGGGGGTGTTTTTGCCCTCCCCAGGCTCCAAAGGCTTTCCTCGATCCTCTGGGAGGGCAAAAACGGGCTCCCCAGGCTCTGGAGACCCTCTGGAGGCCAGAAACGGGCCTGTTTCCGGCCTTCCTGAACTTCTGGTAGGCCCATTTTTCGCCCTTCCCGAGCCTCCACGCATGCCCTGCACTTACCTGCATCCAAAATGGGCTGCGTGGGGACTCCTGGGAGGGACGGGGCAGGGTGGGCTAGGCCAGCCAGGAGTGGGATTTGAGGGTTCTCCGAACTGCAGAGAATCTTACCTAGAGGTTCTCCCAAACCCCTGCGAACCCCCAGCAGCCCACCCCTGATTGTACCCCATTATTTAAAGTCAACATTCTTCAAGATATTGGAGAAGCTTTGCACAAAAGATATGGGGATAGGCAGTCTTTCTAGGATTTTGTTTTTTGTTTTGTTTTGTTTTTAGGAAAATTGGTATCACAAAACAAAGAGCTGAATGTACTTCAGAGTTAGCTTTGTTACCTCTATTTACGTGATCCAAGCTTCTCTTAAAAATAAGCAACCGATTGTCTGTTTACTTTTGGCAGCAAAACTGCTGGCAAGAGTGGCACCTACCCTCTGGAACAATCTACCCCCAGAGATACGAGTGATCCCCGACCTCTGGACTTTTTGTCGGGCCCTTAAAACCTATTTTTTTCAGTTAGCCGGGCTGTCCTGATTTTATGGTTGGTTTTTAAAATTTGATATTGATTTTAATTGAAATGTTTTAAATTATGGGCCAAACTTTATTTAATTATTTTAAATCTATTTTAACTTTTGTGTACAAATGTTTTATTTTGGCTGTTCACCGAAAGGAGTCCGAAAGGAGAAGGGCAGTATAGAAATCTGAAAAATAAATAAATAAATAAATAAATAAATAAATAAATAAATAAATAAATAAATAAATAAATCTGACTACTTCTCAAACCTGAAAATTTCTTGAAAATATAATGATTGATTTGTGGATTAAAATAGCTTATTCAAGTGCCATATTAGAAAAAAAAATAGCAAGAAGCCTAGAACAATAAAATTTCAGAGGCAAGAATAAGACTTTTCATCACTTTTGGGTAGATTATATTCATTAGGTTAGTAACAATAGGCGTAATTAGGTGTGTTGATAAATACAGGTAGTCTTGTTTGTTTAGTAACTGTTTAAAGTTACAACGGCACTGGAAAAAGTGACTTACGACCGTTTTTCAAACTTATGACCATTCAGCATCCCCATGGTCATGTGATCAAAATTCAGACACTTGGCAACTGACTCATATTTATGACAGTTGTAATGTTCTAGGGTGTGTGATCACTTTTTGCGACCTTCTGACAAGCAAAGTCAATAGGGAAGCCAGATTCACTTAACAACCATGTTACTAACTTAACAACTACAAATGATTCACTGAACAATTTTGGCAGGAAAGGTCTTCAGGCAAAAAGGCAAAACTCTCTTAACTGTCTTGCTTAGCCACAGAAATTTTGGGCACATTTGTGGTCATAAGTTGAGAACCAACTGTATTAATACTATACGGAAATTCTAAACAACTTTTAGATCATTTACTTTTTCCAACAAAAGGAAATATCTATAGCTCAGGGTTGAACTGTGATGTTCTTGGTGTTTTTTTTTTTAATTTGATTTATATGCCACCCTTCTCTGGAGATTCAGGGCGGCTTACAATGCGTTAAGCAATAGCCTTCATACTTTTATATATTTATACAAAGTCAGCTTATTGCCCCCACAAACTGGGTCCTCGATTTACCTACCTTAGAAAGGATGGAAGGCTGAGTCAACCTTGAGCCTGGTGAGATTCGAACTTACAGTAATTGCAGGCAGCAGATGTTAATCACAATGCTGTTAGTCTGCTGAGCCATCAGGCCCTTTGATCACGATATTATCTGGCTGAATAATGAAATGTCTGCAAGCAAGCAATCATGCTAAGGGAGCACAAAGAAGCTCCATGTTTGTATTTAATTGTATTGCTTTTTCTATAATCCTCCTATATTGTTCGCTTGGATTTTTTTCTTTCTTTGTGTAAACTTCGTGTTCAATTATTTTTTTTAAATCATTTCTAAGGCAAGGAAAGTTGGTCTATTATAATGATTTCCATTCCTGATCATCCATTTAAAATCTATACAAAGCCTTCACCAAACACACAATAGGGACTTGAGAATTAATTAAAAATAAATTCCAATGCAACAATGCAGAAGCAGCCCAGAGTTTAATGTTTTGAAGAGCAGCAGATCGTAGCAAACAAAAGCAAACCACAAATTGTATCCAGAATAAATCGAGCACAGTACTTGTCTTGAACAGTTTCGTCTTCTCAAATTTGACCCAACCAATTCTGTTGAACAGAAAAATCATAATGATTCGATTTGGAGATTAGGCCCATGGATTTTACAGAAAAACGGTATGAAAGTACCAGATTTTACAAATACGTCAAATACATCTACTGCTTCAGATTTCATATTTTCAAGCCCTGAGATCATGAACATAGCATCATAGCATAACAGCTGGAAATATAAGTCACGTTGAGTCAAGAATTTAAACACAACCAAATACCAGTACTTGTATATCCATGTGCTTGAAAGGATTAAATTTTGTGGCCCTATCTTGCTTGCTGTACCTGTACGAACTTAAACACTAAAATGGTTCTTGATTTACGAGCACAGTTAAAAGCAGAATTTCCACTGCTAAGCAATGCAGGGAGAAAAAGAGATTTCACATCACTTAGTGACAGCATTTCTGGCACTCCCCATTGCTATTGTTAACTGAGCATCCCATTTTGCAAGTAAAGACCTCTGTGAAGGAGATGGTGGTTTTAGACTATGATAAATAAAGAATAAAAATAAAGTGCCTACAGCAATCCAAACCATTCCAGCTCCAAGCTTTAGTAACCGGTTTCAACTCACTCTACCCCCCTTTTTCTTCCATATATGTTCTTTTGCCTCTGCCACCCTCTGCTCTGCAGATCATATTTGACTTCTTGCTCCCATTGCTGATGAGGCATGCCCAGCCTAGCCCTTCACACCTGGAAGCCCAGCTCCAGCTCAGAGCTTCATAAGAAAGAGAAGGAAGGAAGCAAGAAGCAACCCCAGTTCAATAGCCTGTTCTATAGCCATCATGGAAGGGCCTTCATGATGTACCAAGAAGTCCAGTTCCAGCTCAGCCCAGCAATGCAGCCCAAAGGGGCTTCTTGATGCAAAGGGTCAGGCCAGGTTTTGACAGGTTGTGGAGAACCGGTAGCGGAAATTTTGAGTAGTTCAGAGAACCAGCAAATGCCACCTCTGGCTGGCCCCAGAGTGGGGAGGGAATGGGGATTTTGCAATATCCTTCCCCCAGGAGTGGGGAGGGAGTGGGAATTTTGCAATATCCTTCCCCTGGAGTGACAGGGTGTTATTTTTGGGGAAACACAATAGTTCCATTCCACATCTTACCTCAGATACCCTCTTGAAGCTTAGGTTTCTGCTTGCAGAATCATTTTGAGGACAGAAATGTTTAGTCGTGCCACTTTTTTTTTTTTTTTTTTAGGAAAATGAACTTCCAAAATCCACAAAATATTTCTCAAATAATGTTTGGTAGAGTTGAGCCCATATTGAACAGCAAAACTAATAACTCAGGCCCACTCTTGTTATTAAGGTTTTGTACTCCACATTTATAAGACAGCTTCACTTCAAACTTTATAAGCAAGGCTGAATTGTTGTCATATTTCTAGCTTTTACTGTAGATTCAGCCAAACATCCTATATCTGGGGTGACCCAAATTAACACGGTTATCCTCAATTGCAAGCGATTCATCTGGTTTTCTTACCCCTTACAGCAACATAAATTCTTGATCCTGTCCCTGCACAACGGTGGTGGGTTGCCCCCAGTTTGCACCGGTTCTATAGAACCGGTAGTAAAACTGGCGGGAGGCTCCGCCCACCGACCCCGATGTCATCAGAACGCTTCTACACATCTCATGCGCGCACGGCCCTGTTGCGAACCGGTAGTAAAGGTAAGTAGAACCCACCCCTGCCGCACAAGTATAATATGTCTAATAATAAATTCCACCCACCACATTAATATATAAGAAGCCATTCCCATAGGCAAATTCATCAGAGTAACCCATTGCATGAAACATCTACTTGTTTGTTTGTTTGTTAAGAAAATATGGATTTTTTTTACATCCATTTTTTTAAAAAACCAAGTAGATGTCTTATTGGGTCAATGAAATTACAGTAAATGTCCAGTGTTTACTGAAAGCTATTCCACGATGAGCTATAAGTCCATATACTTTTGTTTATTAATCAGGAATACCCATTTACATAGTTATTGTTTTAATTGAGCAAGTGGATGTGACTATAAATATAATTAAATGTCACAGGATCCAACCTGGGTCAGTCACCAGGACCAGAGGTTTAGGCTTCTCAGTTTTCAGACTCGTGCTGGAGCCCATTCTCAGGGAACTTCTCTCTAGCAGACACACACACACACACACACACAGCTAGACGCACTCCCAAACACTGCTAGACACACTCACACCCTCTGCTAACAAGAAGTTCTCTGAGGATGGGCTCCCAGCATGAGATTGAAAGCTTGGAAGAGTAAACCTCTGGTCTCAGTGACCAACCCAGATTGGATCTTGCCAGTGATGGGATTCAGCCGGTTCTGTCTGGATCGCGTGAACCGGTAGTGGCAACTGCGGGAGGCTCCGCCCATCTGCCTGGATGAAAAGCGCAACTACTACGCATGCACAGAAGTCCGTGCACATGCACAGAGATGGCGCGTGCGAGTGAACCTGTAGGGAAGGTAAGTGAATCCCAACGTTGGATCCTGCAACGTTATCCTAGGACACATATATTCGCCTTCATTCATAATTAAATGTACCATCTACCATTCACTTTTTTTTTTTTTTGAAAGAATGCAAATGAGCTAGCATTCTCCCTGGCACTACTTAAAAAAAAAAAAATTAGCATTCTCTCCCTGTGCTAGACTTGAAGGCAGAAGCTCTCTAAAGAAGAGCATCCGTGCTGTTGTATCCAAAAGAGGTGTGTAGGCTTGCTTCGAAATGAAAATTTAATGTCAACCATCATTTGATGGTTCTCAATGTCCCTCCGATAATTGATATGTGCAAAGCTGGGTTTTGGCATTTTCAAAACAAGGCAGGAAGGGTTTTTTTGTGTTTCTCAAGTCTCCTTCCAACTTAGGGTTTCGTTACAGTTTTCCAGATTTGGCCAGACCTCATTTACCTACTATCGATTGGCACAGCTGCTCCCTAGAGCACTACCTTCTCTGTATGCCATGATACACATCTTCTCATTGCCATGGGCCAGAAATGGATACCTTCTACTGCAGGGGTGTCAAACTCAAGGCCCGGGGGATGGATCCGGCCCACGGGATGGTCAGATCTGGCCCTCAGAGCCACACTGGAAACAGTGAAGGACCGGCCCGCGGTGCTTTTGCCAACGAAAACGTAGCTCAGGAGTGCTGCATGTGGCCCCCTCTGAGCTCCATTTTCACTGGCAGAGGGTTGCAGGAGGCCGTTTCAGTCGTAAACAAAGCCCGTGAGGGCCGTACGCGGACCTCCCCCAAGCTCCATTTTCGCTAGCAGATGGTTGTAGGAAGCCATTCCAGCCAAAAACAGGAGCCCAATTTTGCTGGCAGAATGCTTGGGCCACCACAGGCGCCCCCGACATGAGTGACGTCGAGCTGGCCATGCCGACCCTGGCCACGCCCACCCCAGCCCCCCAAAGTCAAACACAACGCTGATGTGGCCCTCAATGAAATTGAGTTTGACACCCCTGTTCTACTGGGTCTCTATCCCCAGGACCACCGCAATCCTCTCTCCGGCTCCCTTTTGTAGAAAGGGTCTTGATTCACTGCGACTTGACTGTCACCCTGATGAGGTGGCAAGCAACACATAGCAGGCTGGTACACACTGTTCCACAGGGATGAAGGAAACCATCTTTTCTGGCCTCTATCAAGGTCTTCCTGCCTACATAGGAGAGGGAAGTTTCCTTGCTTTTGATGACATTCCTTTCTTTATTATGCAGTACGAAATGCATACAGATCCCATCTGGTGGGGAAACGTTTTCAATGAGCTTCTGCATCACAGCTAGTTCTCCCCATGCCAGGCTGCCCAGCACAAAGACAGGTCCCATTTAGTTCACATTTGTGCTTTATAAACATAAGCCACCTCAATTCCCATCTTTATGCATAGAATCATAGGCACTGGAAATGATTCAAAAGGATAGCTGTTTCACCCACTGCTGATGAATATATTTACACAGAACATCTGTCATAATATTCCTCGCAGCTGTGCTTTTTTTTTTTTAACCCCTTTTTCGTTTCCATACCTGAGTTTTCACATTGCAAGCCCTCCCAATCATGAAAAGAAACAAACACTCCATCTTTTAGCCAGCCTGAATATTTTTCCCCCCCTTCTCTAGTGGCTTTTAAGTGACACCTCGGTCCATCCTCTGCCGTCACGTCCCTCTGATCCTGGACTCTGTCCAAGTGTGGCATCTTCTCTCCGTCATCGCCAAAAGCTTTTTCTTCCTCGGCGGCTTCATTCTGAAGAGCCTGTAAGCTGCTTCTCGGTATTTCTTTGACATGATGTTGTACAGGATTGGGTTGATGGCAGCGCTTAAGTAGAAGAGAACGAAGGAGACCACGTTGCAGTACTGGCTGATAACGGCGATATCCAAGGATTCGACCTCGAAGGATTTGGAAAAGAGATAACGTCCTAAGTAGAAGGGCAGCCAGCAGAGGACAAAAGCCAAAACCACCACCGCTAGTTAAAAAAAGTAAGAGAGAGAATGATTAACAGAGTTGGAAGGGATCTTGCAGATCATCTAGTCCAACCCCCAGCCCAAGCAGGAGACCCTACATCTGCCTCTGCCTAGGACCAAACTCACAACCTCCTGATTGTGAGGCAAGAGCTCCACCTCTAGGCCACAGCAGCTAGTCAAGAGAGAAAGGACAAGTGCATATGAAAGTGAATTAAAATATTTGCTAAGGTTTCTCTTTTTAATTCAAGGGTCAAGGCACAGAGGACAGAAAAACCAAGCTGGATTTTGAGATGGGAATCTGAGCTACCCATCTTGGAAGAAGAAGCAGGAGAAAAGGAATGCTTCAACTATTCTTCCTGCAACAAATGTCTTAGAATAATAATAGAGTTGGAAGAGACAAAGCATTGGAAGGGACCTTGGAGGTCTTCTATCCAACCCCCTGCTTAGGTAGGAAACCCTACACCACTTCAGACAAATGGTTATCCAAGATCTTCTTAAAAACTTCCAGTGTTTGGAGCATTCACAACTTCTGGAGGCAAGTTGTTCCACTGATTAATTGTTCTAACTGCCTTAGAACTCCTTAGTTCTAAGTTGCTTCTCTCCTCCAGCTGTTCCTTGTTGTTCATCAAACAACACATCTGGAGAACAGTGAGTAGAACCAGCCAGAACAAGAGGCCATTGGAGAAAGATGCAAAGAGAAAACAATCTTCATCTCTCATCCATAAACCTTGTACAGAACCTACTATTTATTTGGCTTTATGGAAAAAGTTTCTGGTTCTTGGGCAGCTAATAATCTCTCAAATTCTTATCGGCCTTATACAAAAGTCAGTGGTAGCCTACTTTATCATTTTTACTTACAGCGTTTCTCCAAAATGTTAGAAATCTCTTGGAGCAGATGAGACAAAAGGGCACAAAAAGAAGCACGGTGTAGTCTGCAGGTTCACCAATTTGAAACCCTGACTCTTTTTGCTGATATGTTATCAAAATCAATTTTTCATATCATTCCCCAGCAGTATTTCTACTCAAGGCCCCAAAAGATCAGATACCACCTTGGTATCTGATCTTTTGCAGGACATTTGCAGGACAAAGCCCTATGAGCTAATCTTTCCTCTACCATCATCTCATGCACCAAGGAACTCTGGACAGCCAATGCCTCGTTCTTTACAACAACTTCCCCAGGTATCCTAAGAGCTACAATAGAAAGGAGAAACTCACATAGTTCTGTTACATAAACTGGGTTACATGAAAGCTTCTTTGGTCCATAGTATATAACCTTATTTTTTTTATTAAAAAAAAACTCAGTTGCAACTAAGTCTTGTTTATGAATTGACACACACTAACTTACTTCGTTGATTTCAGTTGGATTTGGGACAGAGCAGGTTTCAGCAGGTTCTGACCAGTTCTGGAGAACCGGTAGCGGAAATTTTGAGTAGTTCAGGGAACCGGTAAATACCACCTCTGACTGGCCCCACCCTCATCTATTCTCTGCCTCCCGAGTCCCAGCTGATTGTAAGGAAAGGTGAGAATGGAGATTTTTATAGTATCTTTCCCCTGCCACTGGCTGATGGCACCCCGAGGAGGTCCTCTCTGTGGGAGCGCACAGGTCGGTGGGAGGTCATCGGTAGCAGCAGGCGGTCTGGAAGATAACTAGGTCCTATGCCATGGAGCGCTTTAAAGGTGGTGACCAACACCTTGAAGCGCACCCGGAAGACCACTGGGAGCCAGTGCAGCTCACGCAGGACCGGTGTTATGTGGGAGCGCCAGGCAGCTCCCGTAATTACCCGCGCGGCCGCATTCTGGATCTTGACAAGCAAAAGGTATTATTATCCACCGAGTAGAGAATCACCTTGTGTAATTCATCATAAGTGAGACCACTGGTAGTTGTCACTTACTGGTGGAAAATAAGCTGAAAGACAGCTACAAGCTAAAGCATCAATATATTACTTCAAGAGTCACAGGCAAGATACTGTTCAACACCAGGTCTTGTTACATGAGTTTCTCACAAAAGTCTGATTCCTGTGGAACCAGGGTCCGAAATGAAACTGCTCTTACATTCCTCTGAGAAAATAATTCCCCTTGGGGTCCTGCCACAGAATATAGGTAAACACAGATGAAATTATTTCTTAGGAAGACCATGGACGTTTTCAAATGTGTATGTATCTTGTCTGTGGTAGAAGTGTCTATGTCAATGCCAATGGGCTTGATAGATTGATGACCTCTTAACAATTCCAACTGGAAACAGAAAAGGAGATTGTATCAACCGTGTTTTCAGTTGCTGAAAATAAAAAGAGTTAGTTATAAATCAGGACAAAGAATAAGGTGCTGATCAACCTGTTAAGAGTTGCCATGGACCCAGTGGTGAAATGTAAAATTTGTTATTACTGGTTCTGTGGGTGTGGCTTGGTGGTGGTGGGTAATATGACTGAGTGGGCATGGCCAACTTTTTTTTTTCTTTTAAAACCATTTGTAAAAAAAAATGCTTTTAAAGCCTCTGACGATCCCAGCTGACTTTCCTGATCAGCAGAGGCTTTTTTTCCCTTTAAAAACATTTTTTTCTATAACCTCTTCGGCCAAAGAGGTTGTAGAAAAAATGCTTTTAAAAGCCTCTGATGATCCCAGCTGAGCCGCGCGATCATCAGAGGCTTTTTTTTTTTACTTTTAAAACCATTTTTTCGGCCAAAGAGATTGTAGAAAAAATGCTTTTAAAAATAAAAAAAAAGCCTCTGATTTTTTGCTACCATTTTTTTGCTACCAGTTCTCCGAACCACCTGCCTCCATCACTACCGGATCGGGCAATCCGGTCCGAACCAGAAGCATTTCACCCCTGCATGGACCCATACAATTCATTGGTTACAGAAATAAAGTGAGTGTAGTGGTTCCATTAGGAAGACCCAGAATTAAACCCATCCTCTAGATAGACATTTCCTTGAATGACTGAACCAGTCACTCTCTATCTCTGCCCACATTACTCATAGGGATGCTATCCTGATATAAACTGCCATGAGCAATTGAAAGAAAAGCAGGACATAAATCTGGTAAATACATACGATATATCCTCGACCCTTTTGTTCCCTGAAGCCATATAAAGTACATCAGTCACCTGTCAGCCCTGGAGGCCATCTTTTTCTTTGGATCTTCAGGGCTGCCACACTTAGTGCTGTGGGAAACTGGGAGGGGGGATTGCATAGAGTGGTGGAGATATTTAGCCATAATAACATTCCTTTCTCTGAGAGTCAAGGACTTTTGGGCCTGCACCTGGACTGGCGTGACTGGGAGGCATCTCCAGTTGGGACGGTGCATTGATTGGACCATGTGATGGACATGTGGGGGCAGGGGAAGGGACTTGGACTTTCCTTTGGGTGGGGAAAACCTGGAACCTTCAGATTTGGGTTTTCCCAGATGTGCCAATATGACATCTCTAATAAAATAGAACTTTGAGGAATTTCTAGCCTTGGAGTCTTCTTTCATTGGGGGTGTTACTTGGAACCCTGACATCATCTTCAATTCAAGCTGGGTTCCTGGTGACTTTCTGGATATAGCCATACAGTTCTTCTATTGAATTAACTTTTGGAGGGCATATCAGTGGTCTCAAAACATTACCTGTCCTAGTGATAATGGGAATAAACAATCAACAAATAAACCTGCCATTTTCTTCACTATAGTATCTCTACCCAACTTGGATATCGCTACCCAAGGTAACTTTTTTACAGAAAAGCAGCAAATATTCATCACTCAATAAATTTTTGGGAGGATAAACAAGTCTTCATCTGTTATGGAAAGGAAAAAAATACTATTGGTGGTCGAATCGATTGGGCTCTCGCGTTTCAGATTTGGAGGAAGGACAACAAACTTTTGAGTTCCTTAATTTATTACTACCTTAATTCCTTAATTTATTACTACAGTCTCACTTTCAACAATGAAGATGTCCTGAGATTTTCTGCCTGAATGTCAAAATAATTGGGCCATTTTAGTGTCCCCAAGGCTACTAACAGAGGAAACATCATTTGCCTGTTGGCCCAAAAAGTTTGGAGTCAACTCTTGTGGGAAACGGAGGTTGGACTAGGTCCCTTCCAACTCTGTTAATCTGTTTAAATCTCCAGTGGTGAAAGATCTGAAATATAAGCTTGATTAGAGAGAGCTAAAAGTTGGGTTAGGTTCAGCCTACTGCGATAATTGAAGGGAAACATGATGGCAGTCTTTAAAATCTGAAAAGCTCTTCTACAAAAGAGGTGTGGACCTATTCTCCATTTTTACAGATGAGAATCTTGTAGCATCTTAAAATAATGACCTTCCAATAAAATGCCACAGGGCATTTAATGTAACTCTCATTGTGATTTATGGGGGGAAAAATCAAATTGTCATGTCTATGTTGAATGCTCTTCAGAAAAGAAATCAGAGCTGGGAAAGAGTTTTGAATTCTAGGGGGAGAATGGCAACTGAAGGCAAATGATGTCAATTGAAAGGCAACAGATCCCTCTGCAGTCAGGACTATAACCACAAAGTACTCCAGGGTTTGTTCTTTTTCTCCACTTAACCAAGAAATAAAATTCAGAGATCTACGGTTGGTCCACCAAAAGAAACAAGAATGACTGAAAGCCGAAATTATTGCAAATTGACACTTATTGTAGCTATTACCTTCCTCTTTGGATCACATTTAAAGAGTCTGGGAGAATACAGAGTCGATAACTATCTCTCGAGTTGAGTGGCTTTAAATTTTTTTTAAAAATAATAAGGTGAAAAAGACCAACCCCTTTATTGTGGTTTGTAAAACCAATGACTTTCTATAGCAATACAGAAAGACCATTCCTTTTTCTTTTCCCCAACCATCTTTCTTGCAACTTGCAACACATTTTTTTCCTTAATCTAATAAAATGGCTGTTTCACACACAATGTGCTTAACCAGGTCAAGTAGAAGTCAGGGGTGGGCTTCAGATCCTTTAGCAACGGGTTCGCTGCCCCGCTGCTGGGTGGGCGTGGCCATGGTGGGCCTGGCCTAGTCGGCCACCTGCACCACGGCAGGTGGGGAGGCTTTTTTGCTTCTCCTGGGATCTGGAGGGCCTCCGGAAGCCAGAAACAGGCCCATTTCCGGACTTCCAGAACCTCCGGTAGGCCCATTTTTTGCCCTCCCAGACCCTCCGTGTGGCCCCTGCACTTACCTGAAATGATTAACGGGCCACAAGGAGACTCCTGGGAGGAGAAGGGCGGGGTGGGCATGGCCAGCCAGAGGTGGCATTTGGGGGTCCACCGAACCCCAACTATCCTTGAGTAGAGGATCGCCCAAACCTTGCCGAACCCCCAGGAGCCCACCCCGAGTAAAGTCCTTGCATACCCTGTTAAACATTTATTTACTTAAAACCTTTATATAGCCACTCACCTTAATACCAAACTATGGGCAGCTGACAACCTAGAAATAAGAACAATATATATATATATATTGTTTATAAAAATAAACAAAAATAAAACCCCAATAAAAAGCAAAATCTGGTGCTGCCACCATACTACACTGATGCAACTTATTTCATTCATATCTTTGACCTCACTCTACTCCAATGCATTGGGGCAGGGCCAAGTCCTGAATCTAGAAAATTAAAATGAGGGTGACTGTCAGATCTTCAGTAGTTTATAGGGCAGGGGCTGCTTCCAAGCTCCCTCAGGGTCTCTGGGTTGCTATCAGCAAACACAATGCAGGCAAAGTATGCCTCACCACCCTTATCATAGGGTAAGTCCTAATAAAGATTATTACTGGTGCTTGATCAACTTCTCTTTTGGTCTTCCTGACAACAACACTTGTCAACAGTCACCAAATCTTACCTATTGAGCAACTGTGTTCCCAATCTACAGGGGCATCTGTTGGGGGAGGAGCTCCAAGAAGTCTATATGATGGTCATGCAATCAAAGCACTGCCCCCCCCCTTTTACATGTGTTCCACATGAAAAAGGGTGAGGCTTTGACCATACAGTCATGGATTGACCTTTGGACACCACTATGCAGATGCTCCCATTGAGACCAAAGGAGTTCATCCTTGAATGAGTGTGTTCATAATTGCAACTATGCAAGTAAGTCTCCCTGCATTCTATAAAGCTTATTCTTAGTAGTGTACAGGATTATGACAATAGTGTTAACTTTCCAGCTCTATTATCATTTATGATGCGTTCATTTTCCTCCAGTAGTAAGAAGCAGAAGTGCAAAATTTTGCACTCCACAAGTCTCGGCAAAAGTTGCTGCTACAATGTAAATATTTTTTAATGTGATTAAAGGAAAAAGCTATTAAACATGTGAAAAATGATTATTGTTATTTCTGGCAGTTTAACTCTTTGTAATGTTTAGTAAACATGAATCTCCTGTTGCATGTAATACAGTGAAAGGTGAAAGAGCCCTGGTAGTGCAGCAGACTAAAGCATTGTTATTAACATCAGCTGCCTGCAATTACTGCAAGTTCAAATCTCACCAGGCTCAAGGTTGACTCAGCCTTCCATCCTTTCAAAGGTAGATGAAATGAGGACCTGGTTTGTGGGGGCAATAAGCTGACTTTGTATAAATATACAAAAGTATGAAGGCTATTGCTTAATGCATTGTAAGCCGCCCTGAGTCTTCGGAGAAGGGTGGCATTTAAATGAAATAAATAATAATAAAAAAAAGGTGCCTCTGCAGCAGGGGTGAAATGCTCCCGGTTCGGACCGGATCACTCGATCTGGCGGCGGGTGGTTCGGAGAACCGGTAGCAAAAATCCTTACCCCGCGCCCATGCACAGCTGAGCCACACGATTATCAGAGGCTTTTTTTACTTTTAAAAGCAATGTGTGCCACAGCTGATCACCCCCACTCTCTCGCGCTGTTCTACTTACCGCATGCCTCCCTTTGGCGTGCACTGTGCACACGCACCTTGCATTTGGTGCGTGGTGCATACTGCGCAGCCAGCAAACAGGTAGTAAACCGGTTCAGATTTCACCACTATCTGGAGGCAAGTTATCACAATTACTCTTTGTCACATATTCCCAAGCAGAAAACTGCACTCTTCAGACTTGATGGATTTCCTCACTCGGGTTTCAAAGTACAGGATTCTGACCCAATCAGGTCTATCAAACTGTCTTGTATCAGTTTCTTTAAGGGAAAATAAATCTGTAGATTCTGACCATCATATCTGATCAGCAATGCTATATGCAAGAGCCGAGGTGGCGCAGTGGTTAGAGTGCAGTACTGCAGCTACTTCAGCTGACTGCTAGTTCAGCAGATCAGCAGATCAAATCTCACCGGCTCAAGGTTGACTCAGCCTTCCATCCTTCCGAGGTGGGTAAAATGAGGACCCAGATTGTTGGGGGCAATATACTGTTTAGTATACTGTCTTTGGTGTAAGCCGCCCAGAATCCTCAGAGAATGGGCGGCATAGAAATATTATGAAGAAGAAGAAGAAGAAGAAGAAGATTGACTTAAAAATCTATCCAACACAATATTCAATCTGATCATTAAAGATCCAATGGATATTCATACCTAAGATGTTAAACTTGATAGCTTTAACCTGGGTTAAGCTATGGCTCAGTCACAATTTGGTAAAGTTAGGACTCCATATATTGCAGAATGCTAGAAAGTCAGTTAAGCAAGTTAAGTGTTCTGCAAACTGAACTTTTAAGGAATATGACTGTGTTTTATGACTTTTCCAAATCTGAAAGCCTTTTCTAGTTATTTCAAAGATGTTGGAAAGTCATAGCAGGAAGAGATGTGATCATCAGAGCCTTAAGCATTTCACCATCTGCATGAGGAACCAAACAGATATTTGACCTGACCTAACCAGTTCACTGAAGATAGTGAAAAAGTACACCCTGCAGGAGTCCAGAGACAATCATTATTTCATTTTTCTAGGTCTTTAAATCGTATCCTCATGTTCTTATTTATGTTTTATGAACATGCCAGTTCAGTTTAAAAATGGTACACTTTTTAAAGTTATTTATCTATATATATAAAAGCCAAATACCACTCACTCATCACAAAATCTCCAGAACAGTAAAGCCTACAAACTTGAAATTTGGCATGTATGTTCCTCTTGGCTTCTAGGTGCTCACTAAGAAAGGATTTTTTGAAATGACCATCAGATCATTAGTATTTCGTATACAGTATTATATTCACATGCTCTGAGGCTAAGGAGTTAGACGTTCTACTCCCCCTCCCCACTGAAAGGAACTCTGTCCCAACTGCCAGTTGTCTTATATTAACACACTCTGATGCTACCCCTTCGCTAAACCAGGTGTGGGCGTGGCCAGGGCATGACTCATCCAGCCTGTGGGCTGGGACATTCTACTCCCCCTCCTCCTCCGTTCCAACTGCCAGTTGCCCTGTATTAACACACTCTGATCCTACAGAGTTACACATTCTACATTAAGTTTCAGGCTTTAAGTGTCAATTTATCACGCCCGATCACATAGTTTCGTAGTGAAGCACGGGTGTCCAGCTAGTTTATTATATGAATATCATGTTTTTCCTCCAGTAGCTCAAAATAGCATACCTCCGCAAATTTTGTGCATCAACCACAGCAACAACCTTTTGAGCTAGGATGGTCAGAGAGTAAATGGCTGGCTCACAGTCATCCAGTGAACTTTCCTGGCTGAGGATGGACTCGAAGCTGGGTGTCCTCACTTCAAATCCGTCCTAATAACTCTACCACACTTGGAGACATGGAAGCTAAAGCTTAGTGGACCTTTCTGATCAGTCCTCCTATTCACATATCCAAATGGATATGTTCTAGATCAGGACCTCTTGGTCAAATGACAGTTTGGAGAATCATTGAGGAAGAATCAAATTTTTCATTATAGACCAGCGAGACATGCATAGCTATTATAACTAGCATATAATGCAATCTGCTAAAGAATGTAAGACTACACAAGCTGTTTTAAGTTGCACAGCATTCTTAATCGATCAATCAGAATAGAGTTGAAAGGGATCTTGGAGGTCTTATGCAACTCCCTGCTCAAGCAGGAGAACCTATACCATTTCAGACAAACAGAATGGTTGCAGGAACTGGGTATGTCTAGTTTAATGAAAAGAAGGACTAGGGGTGACGTGATAGCAGTGTTCTGATATCTCAGGGGTTGCCACAAAAAAAAGGGAGTCAAGCTATTCTCCAAAGCACCTGAGTGTAGGACAAGAAGCAATGGGTGAAAACTAATCAAGGAGAGAAGCAACCTAGAACTAAGGAGAAATTTCCTGACAGTTAGAACAATTAACCAGTGGAACAACTTGCCTCCAGAAATTGTGAATGCTCCAACACTGGAAGTATTTAAGAAGAGATTGGACAACCATTTGTTTGAAATAGTATAGGGTTTCCTGCCTGAGCAGGGGGTTGGACTAGAAGTCCTCCAAGGCCGCTTCCAATTCTGTTATTCTATTCTAAATGGCTATCCAGTCTCTTCTTAAATCTAATCTGAAGGACATGTTCTTTGTTACTGAAAATGTTGCATGTTTCAACACGACTTTTAATTGGTTCAATAAACAATATTATGAATCTCACATCTTGGATTTACAGAATAAGCAGGCTTGTCTTGGGAAAAAAAAAATAGATCAGGTACCTTACCTAGCATTTTTATTGTTTGTCTGTTGTACTTGTCCCTGATGGAGGTCTTTGGCCCAATGTTTTTCTTCTTTCGCTTCCAAAGCTTCCGCACAATGAGGCTGTAGAGAACGGTCAAGCAAAAAACGGGCAGGAAAAAGAAGACGCTGGAGGTCCACACCATAATGGTCAGCAGCCCTGAATGAATGGCATACTCTGTGATGCGACATTCGTTGGTATCCAAAGGATTTGTCCCATTCTCATGCTCAACTCCAACCAGAACAAAGATGGGCCCAGCACTGACAAAAGAGATCACCCAGAGCACGAGGATAAGGAGTTTGACTTTGGTCTTGGTGATCATCGCCTTGGCCCTGAGTGGAAAGCAGACCGCAAAATATCTCTCGGCGCTCAAGGCTGTGATGTTGAGTATGGTTGAGTATGTGCAACACTCACTGACAAATTGGAAGAGCTTGCAGAGAAGATCCCCAAAATTCCAGGGCCGATACTGCCAGAGGCGGAAGAGGTCTAGGGGCATGCAAAGGAAGATCAAGAGATCTGAGAAAGCCATACTGGAGAGGTACAAGTTGGTAGTTGTCCTCATATCTCGGAACTTAAAGACCACCAGCATTGTCATCATGTTTCCACTAATCCCAATCGTGAAGAAGAGCAAACAAGTGACAGTGACACCTGTGAGGAGAGGTGCAGGGAACAGGTAGGAAGCTTCAGTCTCTGTATTGTTGTCATAATCCATGATGAGCTGCAAGTCGCTCTCGTTATGCGTTCAGTCAGTGTTTGTTGATCTGAAGGGACTACATCAGCTGCTTCCTCATATCTGAGAAGAACGAGGCAATGGGCTCTGATAAAGGCAAGAAATAGACAGCTGAGAGATGCTAAATGAAAACAAACAAGACAGGCAAGCAAGACATGGATTGGAGGGTGGGGGGAAGAAAGAGGACATTCAAGCTAACATGAAAACTTTCCAGTCCCTTCATGAGATTCAGCTTCCTCTAACAAAGTAATTCCTCTACCATATTCATCGTTTTTGTTTTTTGTTTAATTTGATTTATATGCCGCCCTTCTCCGGAGACTCAGGGCAGCTTACAGTGCGTTAAGCAATAGCCTTCATACTTTTGTATATTTTATACAAAGTCAGCTTATTGCCCCCACAACTGGGTCCTCATTTCACCTACCTTAGAAAGGATGGAAGGCTGAGTCAACCTTGAGCCTTGGAGAGATTCGAATCAGCAGAAATTGCAGGCAGCTGTGTTAATAACAGGGTGCATAAACCACTGTACTATCAAGGCTCCTGCATTTTGCTTCTGCATTAATCATGAGCTGGTTCACGTGTCTATTTCATCATTGGGAGTTCTCTCGGTTAGAAGGACGGCTGCTGAAAATGGGAATGTCTACCTTGGAAAGCTGTGGTCCTTCTCTCCAGAGGGACCTGCTGCTCACATCCATTTTTGGATGGAGGCTGCAGTCACTGATGAAAAAGCATGCATGGAGGAACCAGAACATAGAAGCAACACTCTGAAACAAACCAAGCTGAGCTTCTGCTTCCACCCCTTTAACCAATACGAGCCTTTGTGTCAATATGACTTCCACTTCTGACACCAAAGTGTTTGTGAAACCTTTTCCACCTACAGGCATTCTTTTGCATTATTTACCTGGATTATCAAAGGTCACTATGGTATAATGAGAAGCTCAACCTGTGAATTTAATAGTGCCAAGAGAGCTGGAAGGCATCAGTTCAGGGAAGAATCAATTATTATGCAGTGAAATCAGAATTCAAGAACTAGTTGACCTCTCAAACCCAATCAGTACATTTCAGGACTTGTAAGCTGCATTCACACAAGAAACCCATTTTCTAATCTATTTTCATTAAGCATTAAACTCCTAAACAAGTCTACAATAAAATAACTCAAGAATAACAAAGGGACAAATTTAACAAAAGCAAATTATTTGGTGTTTCATTGATTTAGTTGTGTGAATTCAGCTTTATTCTCTTAACCTAGCCTAACCAGCATTTTTACAGGATAAATTTCTGTGAGGGAATGGTTTGTTGTTTCAGCAAGAGTAGAGTAAAAAGTAAATAACTAGACATTTAGTTTATCACGCTTTCAGTCCAAATAAATGGCATTTTTCAAATAACTGAGGAAAATTAATAAAATATAGCATAACTGGTGAAATATAATAAACTATAAACCAACTGTGGAGCTTGAACTTTCCAAAAGTGCTAAAAGAGGAGGGGGAGATCTTACAGTTTGTCTGTCTGTCCTTCCATCCATCCATCCATCCATGCTACCCTAGTCAGATGCATATCACCAATCAATATTTTTTTAAAAAATCTCTCCATCTGGAGTAATGACAAGATGCTGGCTTACTCCCCTGGATTCTGCTTGAATGTGTCCCAACCTCATCATTTTATTTCTTTTTTATTGCTGAGTGTTTTGATCAAATCCCAGTTGATGAACTCTTCTCTCTCTTTTTTTGAAAAAAAAACTGTGCACAGTTCAGGAGAGCAGAGCAGGGTTAAAGCAAACTAAAATACTATCCTTCGGTAGGAGAACTCTTCCAATGGCTATAGAATTCCAGGGCACAGGAGGGGAAAGTGCCAACCTCCCATCTATGATTATTATTATTTTTTTTGGCAGTATTGTTAATAATATTATTAATAGTATTCATATTCATTAGACATGAGACACCCCCCCTCCCCCTGACTTTCAGGTAGGTGATCTGCAGGTGGCATCTAAACGATGAAGAAGAGGGCATCTCCTGCCTTTCAAAGGGGTCCATTATGTGGGGAGGTGGGAGAGTCCCCTAAATAAGAAAGTCTGATTCCTCTCCTGGAGCAGCCCCCCCCTCCCATCATGACCTACCCGCCGCCGCCTTACCTGGCCCACTCCCACGGCCAACTTTTCTCCTTCTGTCCCGCGTGGCGCGGAAGAACCGCAGAAACGGGCTGAGAAGCGGAAAGGCAGGGTCGGCACGCCCAGCCGGCTACGCGCCCCCCTCGCTTTCAAAGACGCCCCTGATACCGGGCTGCAGAAAGCGCTGAGCAGGGCAGAGCGCGCGGCTTCAAGCCTCGGAAGGGTTGGGAAAGGAGCAACAGAAGCAGCTTATTGTCATCATCATCATCATCATCATCATCATCATCATCATCATCATCATCCTCATTAGCCTCATGACTCTTGTTTCCACGCATGCATCGCACCCAATGAGCGTGGCATCGACCGTCCCCAGAAAGGATCGACCTTGGGGAGCATCTGCAGCGGAGACGGGGCGCTCCCTCCCTCCCTCCCGCAGCGCCTCGGCTCCGCTCTCCGCCTCCCTCCCCGACGGACACAACAGTCCCCAGCAAAGAGCCCGAATCCGACTAGGAGCGAGCGCCTCGCGGGGAAGTGAGGATGGCCAAGGCGCACAGAAAAAGGCTCCGAGGACGGTCCAAGGGCTGGATCGGGAGGCGAGAGAGAGAGAGCCCAGCAGCGTGTCTGGAAAAGCAAAGGAGCGGTGGGATCCCGCGGGGACGTGGTTCCGCTCTCAGCGACCTGATCGACTCGATTCGGATGATCCTCCTCCTGCCCCTCCCCCCCCCGCCCATTGAACGCGTTTCCCCCGATCCCTGTAATCTACCGATCCATGAATGAACTGAGCGGGTCAGGTTCGGAGAAAAAGGCGAAAACCACAGAGCCATCGTTAAAGCAAACCAAGTTTAAGCGCACGGTGAAAACGCCGCTTGGTTTAAGGGTTATCAGGCAGGGGTGAAATCCAGCAGGTTCTGACAGGTTCTGGAGAACCGGTAGCGGAAATTTTGAGTAGTTTGGAGAACCGGCAAATACCACCTCTGGCTGGCCCCAAGGGTGGGGAGGGAATGGAGATTTTGCAGTATCTTTCCCCCAGGAGTGGGGTTGGAATGGAGATTTTGCAGTATCCTTCCTCTGCCATGCCCACCAAGCCATGCCCACCAAGCCACACCACGCCCACAGAACCGGTAGTAAAAAAATTTGAATTTCACCTCTGGTATCAGGTGAGCTCTGCCACTGGCTGAGTTCCATGATCGTGCATTAAGTCCTGATCCTGTCTGAGTTTGGATTGGTTTCAGTGGATTTGGTGGATCTGGAAGTTTTCCATTGCAAACCGTGATTTATTAAAGTTGCTTTTTTTGTATCAAGGAATGGGTCTGACTAGCAGTCTATGGCCGTTCCTCTGGCATAGCACCGGTTCAGGTAGAGAGCTCTCTCTGCCACCAATGTTCTTGATAAACGGGAGGATTTAGAATTTTCAGCACAGTAAGAGTGTGACTTTTGTTGTTCAATGATTCAGTCTTTGTCAGTTGGCCACAATTCCACCCAGAACTGATTGTGAGAAACTGCTCTTATAACCTCATATTTCTGCCATACCAACATTTTGTCTTCTGTTGTTCTCCTCTTCAATTGCCTTCGATTTCCCCAAACTTTAGGATCTTTCCCAATGACTTTGTTTTTGCCATATGTGTCCAATTATCTAAGCTTTGCCTTCATTATCAGAGCTTCCAATCAGCGCCCTGGTTTCACTTCACCTAATTTCTTCTTGGGGAAAGGAAATGTGCTAGCACTGAGTCACACTTTCTGTGTTTAAAGCTTTGATAGCATTAGCAATAGCACTTAGACTTATATACCGCTTTACAGTGCTTTACAGCCCTCTGTAAGTGGTTTACAGAGTCAGCATATTGCCCCCAACAACCTGGGTCCTCATTTTACCCACCTCGGAAGGATGGAAGGCTGAGTCAATCTTGAGCCTGGTGAGATTTGAACTGCCAAATTGCAGGCATCCAGCAGTCAGCAGAAGTAGCCTGCATTACTGCACTCTAACTACTGTGCCACCATGGCTCATTCTCCAGTTGGATGGAACAGTGTGATAATTGCAGCCAAAGTGTCTCAGGGTTAGAATTATACTCCAAGACTTACAAATAATAGTTTGCTTTTTTCCCCCTCTCATCATTACAATTTTGCTACATACCTCTTACTTGCTGGGATAATACCTACATCCAAGTCTATCTTCAGCAGCAGATTTTAGCAGCTGGCAGACACCCATTCAATGGTGATTTGAACTCTGCAGAAATTAATAGTGCCAAATTAAGACACTGTACTGCACTATAAGGAAAATCAAATCTACTGTAGTTCATGAGAAAGAGGCAGCAGGACCATGGACAGCTCCAAGTGAGACTGGTTAGTCCTGTTCTCTCCCATTATTAGGACAATTATTAGGAAAATGTTGATTCAGCATCCCTCCTGATTTTTTTATTTTATTTTAGCAGGCCTGAACTGTAGTGTTGTGCAATCTACACATTCTCTGTGGAGGAAGGTTTTGGAATTTTGCATTCCCAAATTTCTGTAAGGCTAGAGATGGAGAAGGTGCTGGTGAAATACTGGCACTGAGACAGCAGATCATGAATGTGGACAGAATTGTCTTTCTCGCAACTGTCCATCAATTTGACTAGGACATTTGAAATTTGTCCAATATATCTAGAGGGCACCAAGAGAGGGAAAAGTTTTATCATCCCCTTCTACTATCCTGTCAGAAGTGTTAAGAATTTAAGACACATACTTGTATTGCTTGGTTGTTTCCACCTAGCAAGTTGATTGGACCAACTCCATATTTCAGCTCTTTTTAGGTCTACTAGTTACTTGAGGCAAAGAAATTGTATGAATGTTAAATATAAACTATAAACAACTTTTGACAAGCTCACACATATTGGACTTGTGGAGAGAAAGTATGTAACGGGAACAAGAAAAATGGACCAACTACTCCAAGCTCTCAAGAGGTTGGTTTTAGTCCCAAAGTGTCACACTTATTTAGAACTAAAGGTAAAGGTAAAAGGTAAAGATTCCCCTCGCACATATATGCTAGTTGTTCCTGACTCTAGGGGGCGGTCTCATCTCTGTTTCAAAGCCGAAGAGCCAGCGCTGTCCGAAGACGTCTCCGTGGTCATGTCATGTGGCCGGCATGATTAAACAGCAAAGGCACACGGAACACTCTTACCTTCCCACCAAAGGTGATCCCTATTTTTCTACTTGCATTTTTTTTTACGTGCTTTCAAACTGCTAGGTTGGCAAAAGTTGGGACAAGTAACAGGAGCTCACCCCATTACACGGCACTAGGGATTCGAAACGCTGAACTGCCAACCTTTTGATCGATAAGCTCAGCATCTTAGAGACTGAGCCACCACGTCCCTATTTAGGACTAAACTAATCCCTATTATGTGTTGTGAGAATGGCTCCTGTGACTTGTGCCAAAGTTGAGGTTCACACACAAAAATATGGAGGCTTCATACAGGTCACCCTACGGGAGATAAATAAAACAGAAATAAGTGGAAGAGCACTATGGACTTGCTGGCTCCTGTGTATGGTAGCATCAATGTTAATCACAGTACTTTTTTTTTAATCCGCTAGAGGGAAAAAAATTAAGGTGGAAGTTGGAATTTGTTGTTTAGTTCTTACTTTCTGCCTGGACCCTATTCATTGATGGAATTTTCATACAGAATACCTGCATCACAACTGTCTAATCTACTGTTAAGAGTATTCTCTGATGTTCCACTCCATTCTCAGAACAGTGATGATTTTAAGAAGCTGAAGCAAAATGATATTGTAATGTCCACTAGGCAAATGCTGGGTTGATGGAGTGGCAGATAATAGCCAATTTCTTTCTCCATATCCATGATGAGAAATGAATACCAGTTCTCTTATAATGGTTCTGCAATATTAACATTACTTCTTTAAAAAAAAGTTCAGAACCACACGATGGGAAATGAAATAAATGACCAAACTGGTGATGGAAGTTTCAGAATTTTTTAAAAAAATAATCTATTTAAATTTGCATCCAGTTTTGCTCGCCATGATATAAAGATGTTGAGACTCTAGAAAGAGTGCAGAGAAGAGCAACAAAGATGATTAGGGGATTAGAGCTTGAAACATATGGAGAATTATTGCAGGAATTGAAGATGAAAAGGATTATGGGGTGACATGATGGCACTGTTCTAATATTTGAAGGGCAGCTACAAAGATAAAGGGGTCAACCTATTTTCCAAAACATTTGAAGGCAGGGCAAGAAGCAATGGATGGAAACTAAGCAAGGAGAGAACCAACCTAGAACCAAGGAGAAATTTTCTGACCCTTAGAACAATTAATCAGTGGAATTACTTGCTTCCAGAAATTGTGGGTATTCCAACACAGGAAGTTTTTAAGAGATTGGACAACCATTTGTCTGAAATGGTATAGGTTTGAATAGGGAGTTGGACTAGAGGACCTCTAAGGTCCTTTCCACACCTGTTATTGTATATACTGCATACAACAGCATCAAGGATCACTTGGGGATGTAATTCTCTCAATGCACCCTGAAAAAATCCCTCAATTCCACTCTATCCCAACCCTTTTTAATGTATTGCACAGCATGGAGCAATGAAAACAAAACTTGTGAGGCTACGAAAAGTATACAAATTGAAGGAAGACCTCGTTTCACTGCAAACTTCTTAGCGAAGCAAGATAAACAATTGACAGCTCTTGAAATTGCTTTCTGTTAATTCCTGAGGCATTTCTCAACAGCTGGTTTGTGTTGTGAAGACATCCTGTCTAACAGGATGGCACTTCAAAAACATTGGCTGCAGATGGAGGACACGCTACGACGAACTGAAGTTGGGAGGCAAAATGGCCGACCTTCTTTTACACACACTATATAATATGAAGAGGCTTAGGGGAATAGTTAAGAGAACTCTACTAGAAAAAAGACTATTACTTAAGACATCAAGGACTGGATTTAAGAACTATTTATCCATTTCAAAACAGCCGTTTTTCCTATTAATTCCTCTCACTCACACACGTGTACCCAGATATCCCAATGCACAATGTTTTCCTTCGGCATAGATTTCCTATTTCTCCAGAAAGAGGCAATTTTGAGGTACAGGTAGTCCTCAACCTATGACCATAATTGGGCCAAAAATTTGTGGCTGAGAGAAATTTGTTAAGTGAGTTTTGCCTCATTGTATGACTTTTCTTGCCACATTTGTTAAGCGAATCACTGCAGTGGTTAAATTAGTAACATGGTTAAGTGAAATCTGGTTTCATTAACTTTGCTTGTCAGAATGTGGCAAAAGATAATCACATGACCCTGGGACACTGCAACCGTCATAAACGTGTGTTGTCAACCATCCGAATGTAAATCACATGACCATGGAGATGTTACAATGGCCATAAGTGTGAAAAATGGTCATAAGTCACTTTTTCACTACCGTTGTAACTTTGGTAATCAAGTGAACTGTTGTAAGTCGAGGATTATTTGTAATTTCAACTTTTAAATATGTAGATTTAAAGGTTTATATTAGGTTTTAGCTTTAAGCATGACGTTACACTTGTTTTCCTTTGTTTTGTTTTGATTTATATGCCGCCCTTCTCCGGAGACTCAGGGCGGCTTACAATGCGCTCAGCAATAGCCTTCATACTTTTGTATATTTATACGTCAGCTTATTGCCCCCACAAACTGGGTCCTCAATTTACCTACCTTAGAAAGGATGGAAGGCTGAGTCAACCTTGAGCCTGGTGAGATTCGAACTTACAGTAATTGCAGACAGCTGGTGTTAATCACAATGCTATCAATCTACTGAGTCACCAGGCCCTTTTCCTCCTATTTGTTCCATTAATATAACAAATAATTTTATTATGAATTATAATTTTATAAATAAAATTATAAAATTTATAATTTTATTATAAATGTTGGTCATTTATTACTCTGTTTTCCATCTTTTTCTTTTGAATGATTTTTTGTGCATTTCCTTTCATGCTTGCAATAGAAATATGAAAGGAAAAAACACACATAGAAAAAATGAGCGGCCTTTGAAACAGCCTGCCGGTATTTTAGCCCTATGACTTAAAAAAAAAAAACTTTTGGCAGCAATGCATTGCTGCAGTTTGAATCTGTTTGCCTGACACAAAAACAGTAACTTGATCCATTGCTGTTATTCTTCCTGTTTTTTGCCATGCTATGGCATCTTTTTCCTCTTTCTGGAGACTGTGGCTCTCAGCCTTGTTGGCAAAGTTCCCAAGAATTCCCATCCGGAGGCTACCAAACAGCTTGCCAAGGCTTTTGTTCAGATGAAAGGAGGTGTGAAAAGAAAAAAACGAGCCCACAATTAATTGGGAATTTTTTTTATTAAAAATGAAAGTACAAAACATCAGTAAATTTCACACTTAAAAAAGAAAATATACAAGAATTGAATCACTTTCTGATTGGTTGCATTTTCAAGCCTGCTGAAGAGCTCCATCACAGATAAACATTGTTATAAGCATTTTGTATCATGTGCAAAAAGGGATCATGCTTGTTTTTAAGCTTCTTAACTTTTTTCATTGCCTTTTAATTTTTGAAGTCTGTGTGTGGATGTGATTTATCTCTAATAAACCATTACATATGATCAGCTGCAAAAACTAAAAGAACCACAAGATGGCAGCAAGGAGACACAATGATGTGGTGGGTTTTGACACCATCTATTGGTGGTCTAGACTTGCCTGCCTGTAAACGATTGCCCTGGTTACAGTTCATATTAAAAGTGACTAGCCAAAAAGAGTTTGGCGATCTCCTTTTTTCCTGCTTAAGTATTCTGTTTCTTCTGACAGGTCAGTCAGAAACTTGAGGCAGTCAGAAAAAGCCCATTTTTTAATTATATATATATATATATATATATATACCACACATGACAGTATTTTTGATATCCATACTACTGCTTTAAAAAAACCCAAAGGATGGTCAAGAGCTTGCTATCACATTGCCTGTATCCATTTGATAAACCAATTTTAATAAAGATGGAACTATCTAGCTAAATCGGTGCTTTGCTTCACAGTATAACCAACCATATTTGGGCTGCAAAATTTAAACTGTCCTAAAAGAGTTTTGCTACCCATTAATGGTCATTCAGATTTTTGTCCCTCAGATTTGCTAAATTCACAGGAATAGGTCGTAGAGTCTTTATTTCCAGACCTTTCCAATTCTTTCTTCTCGGATATCACCATGAGTATGACAGTTGAGGTATGAGGGCGGCCATGTTTTTACATACTTGCTACTAACCACGCAAAATCTCCCAATATTATTTCAACACAGTTTCCAGGGAGCTCTTAGTCAGACCCCTTGGACTTGGCATCCCAAACTGGAGACCATCAAACTGGATTGGCTCCGCTCAGAATTAAGATTGTATGTTTTTACACTGGTGTGAACAAAGGGTGACGATTCTAAAATGGGTTATCACATTAATGTCAATGCTACCTATATACACCTCAACATTTGACACAGCATGTAACTTCAGCATCTCTTTGCATTTACTTAAAAAGCATTTCGGAAAAAATTTCTTCTGAAGATGCAGTTGGTCTATGTTTCTATCCATCTGTTAAACATATGCTGCCAACAATATTAGGGTAGAATTGGATACATTGTCCAAAACTGTAGTTATGGTGGGATTTTCCTTCTGCAGTAGCAGTTTGTCTACATTTCTATCTCTTTTTTTTTTTAACATATGTGAACAAGGCTACAATGATCCCATTGTGCAAAATTGTAGTTAGGGTGGGATTTTCCTTCTAGGCTACGCGAAAAAGAGATAGGAAGCCCTTAGAGGAGTTGAGCTAATGGATCACATGAAAAACCACATCAATAACTGCAAAGAGGGTTTCATAACAAGAGCCATGAAAAATGGTATTCGCTAAGCTGTATACATCAAAGTGGTGTGCTGTAAAAGCTGGAGAAACAATTGGCAACTCTTTTGTCAATCACAATGCAAAAAAATATGCTACAGGTGAAGATTTTCATAGCAATTTCAATAACAATATTGCTACATGGTGAATGCTACTAAATACCAACCTGGTACTATTTGGCATTACAGAAATAAATTGATTTTTACCCAGCATTGAACAGTTATGTGATTCCAGTTCTAAATAAAGTGTGAGTTTCTTTAACCGTCACTTACCTTTGTGGAATAAAACAGTAAACTCTCAGAAACATTTAACTGCTTTTACAGCAATTAAGTTACTTACTTTTTTTTTTTAAAGTGTCTTCAGCAGTGGTCTACAGAAGATAACGCTAATTCTCACAAGAACAAAAGACACCATTTATTGATTCACTCTGGCTCATCCAAATTACATCCCTCACTTCAGTCTGTATTTTACTGCATCTGGACCTTTGCAAAAAATAATTGCTTTGACTGTCCTGGTTTTGTTAGCATGCTATTTTCTTTTCTTTTTTAAAAAAAAAAATACAAACCTTAAAAATAAATCTTTTCATACAAAAAAATGTTCCTGCATTAAAAGGAGATACGCAATTAATCTGAAGCCTGTTTCCAGCCTCAGAGTAATCTGACTCTTTATCCATTTGGCCCAATTGGAACATGAAGCAAATCCGGTTCTTTCCAAATGGGATTCACATTTTTCATTCTCACAAAAGGAACAGCTTGTTTGGAGTTATTGCCTGGTACAGCCTACTCAGGACTGTACCATTTCAAGCTGCATGAAGGGGGTGCAGGTATATGAATGTTCCCCTTGATGGAAGCGAGTTTAGGATGCAGCTTTCCAATATGGGATTTTTCTTCTCTTGCGATCAGAGATGCTACCTTTCTGGATAGGGGCTATTCTGAACATCACTTTTCTGATGTGAAAAAAAAGGAAACAGTCTTAATTTAGGGAATCTATTTTGCTTTATCCTTTACACTCTGTTGTCAGAGTCGGTTCAGCAAATGCAACCCACAGCAGGGTGACAACTACCCACACGACAGTACAGGTTGAAATCACTTGTAATGCGTCTTTTTAGGTGCATGGATTCCATGCATAATCTGATCAACAGAAATTTGCTGAAACAAATCAAATGCAACTTTCCTGTTCGAAACCAAAAAAACCCCCAAATCCCTGGAAGATTGTTCACGGACCCACAGCAGCTTGTTAGCATGTCTTGTTATCTGTAGCGTGCCAAACATTCGTTGTGGAATTTGGATAATGGGACCTTGAACTGGTCTCAGTGGTGCTTAACAGAGGAACTAAAATACTTCATCCAATTCTGTGGATAGTGCAACTACTTCTTACTGTACTTCGAAGGCAGAATCTTTCAGGTCTTCCACAACTTCTTTATGGATGTCTAATTATTCTCTCATCTTTGTTTAAGAGACCAGGAAGGCTCCAAAGAAGCTGGCTTCTTTATCCATGTCCACCAATTCTACATAGCTGATGGAGACAAAAATCTTATCGTTTCTTTTTAACTGAAACACTCCACCCTGGTATATGGAATACAATCCATATTCTGCATTTTTAGACCAACAACTGCTTCTTGCACTTTTCATTAGCAGGATGGCTTCTGGGTAAAAATCTGTAAATTTGGAAATGTACTGAACCATCTGCTTTGGATTCCTAATGCTCTCTGAGTCAGGATCTGCATTGGGTTCAACACTTTCCGATTCCCGGAAACGAAAATAAGTCTGTGCATAAATGTAATAAAATCCAGGTTGCTGTATTTCAAGTTCTCCATTTCTCAGCAATATATTGTGAAGAAAGGAAGGGTACACTGAAGATTGCCAAGAGATTATTTTAAATCCCAAATTGTTTCTCATAGGGGTACCTGTGATAGATTGAAAAAGGCATAAAATAGTTTAGGCATGTAAAACGCTAAATAAATCCCACCTCTTTTTTTAAAAAGGCAAATAATGTAAACTTTGCATCTTCTTAGCAGCTTTTATTCCAATATCATCATCATCCATCTCCTTTTAACAACCCCATAATCTCTTGCGGGGTGGAGTCTGGGCAACTGAATGGAGCTGAGTGTTTACTGGCTGGATGCCCTTCCTGTTGCCAATGCGGAGTTTTGTTCAGCAGATATATTCTCGCTGTGCCCAGAGAGAGAAATATCTTCCTCTATCTAGGATCAAACTCACAGCCTCCTGATTGTGAGGCAAAAGCTCCACCTCTAGGCCACCGCACCACTCAGCTTTTATTCCAATACACGAGTCCTAAATCCCAACGCCCATATAAGTGTGATCATCATTCATATGGATTGAGGAAAGTGACCCATATTACTGTTGCTATACAAGTTGCAAAATGGAAAGTTTTATCAACGCTTTGAACCAGCTTCTCTTCCAAGACTCTACACGTAGTCCTCAATTTACAAACAGTTCACTTAGTGACCATTCAAAGTTACAACGGCACTGAAAAAAGTGACTCATGACCATTTTTCACACTTATGACCGTTGTAGCATCTCCATGGTCCCATGATCAAAATCTGGATGCTTGGCAACTGATTCATACTTATGACCATTGCAGTGTCCTGGGGTCATGTGATTATTTTCTGACAAGCAAAGTCAATGGGGAAGCCAAATTCACTTAACAACCTTGCTACTAATTTAACAACTGCAATGATTCATTTAACAACCGTGGCAAGAAAGATTGTAAAATGAGGCAAAACTCAATGTCAATTTTGGGCTCAATTGTGGTCATTAAGGTGAGGACTACTTGTACTTGCAGACTTTCCCAATGTGCTGCTTTGAAGATGTGTTGGGACTTCAACTCCCAGAATTCTCTGCCCCCATGGCCATCTGACACCATGCGAGCCATCAAAAGCTGCACAATGCTATTTTTTCTACAGGCCTGGTATTAATCTTATATTCCTGGCCATGTTCTATCGCCAGAACATTCTCGCTGGTTTCCATGGGCTGCTTTGGATTCGCACTTGAATTTCCCCTTAGAAATTCTTTGTCTTGCATATAGATAGTATAATTTGGGTTAGGTTACATAAAGGTTGTGAGTGCTTTTGAAAAATAGCGTATTTATAGGCCACACAGAGGATTTGGCTTTACTTAAAAATGCAATACAAGTAGTCTCTAAATTATACATCAAGAATATGTATAATAATGCCTACACCTTTATTTGGGGAGGAAACATTAAATAATTAACAGTATCTAGCAAAAGGATTATGATGGGTTAGATCTAAACTCTCGTATTTACCCTTTGATCAAGTGAAATCATTACAACTTAGAGCAGGGATAATTAACTTCCACTCCACTGATTTTAATGCAAATTGATTTAATTGAAATAATTACATTCATCTAGTCCAGGTTTCACAAGCCTAATATCATAGGAAAGCAGACTGCATTCATCTACTCTCTTTTCATTGAGTTTTAGGATGTGAAAATGTTTACTTCACATTGGTGGAGAGCCCAGGATGGTAGGTTCTGAGCCGAGTTCGTTAAAATCTTCTAGGAACCCCAGAAATTTCCTGCTGGGATTGGTCTCTGGGTCTGCCCCTTCTTAACACTGTCTTGAGTTATGTATCACATTTGCATAGCATGCAAAGGCAGCCCTCAGTGAAGAAATGGGAAAAACCAAAAGCCTGGTTGTTATGCTAAATCCCCTTTACAAGTTTGTCCCTCTCTCACAATGTGTGTTTCAAGGCCATCCAAGTATCCTAAAACTCTCAGATCTGTAACCTTTAACTGAGCAAAAAGGTATAATGTGATTATCTATGGATACTCTCAATCATCCAGGTCATGCTTGTCCCAAAGGTACTTATATTTCCAAAAGGCAACTGAATTTTGTTTTGTTTTTTCCCCTGAAAACATTTGGCTTCTCATCCAAGAAGCTTCTTCAGTTCTAACTGACTGGTGGGGAACAGAAGGATTTATGTTCTTTGCAGTTATCTGGTGATTATCTGCTCATTAGCTCAACTCTCTGAGAATTGTTTAGGCTAGCAGTCCCACCCAAGAAGCTTCCATACTTCTTTACAATCTGTATACAGCCTTGCCGGACTCCTTTCCCAATTTTGAACCAATCAGTGGTTCCATGTCCAGTTCTCACTGTTGCTTCTTGACCCACATATAGATTTCTCAAGAGACAAATAAGATGGTCTGGTACTCCCACTTCTTTAAGATCTTGCCAAAATTTGTTGCGATCCACACACTCAAAGGCTTTAGCATAGTCAATGAAGCAGATGTTTTTCTGAAACTCCCTAGCTTTCTCCATGATCCAGCGTATGTTGGCAAGTTGATCTCTAGTTCCTCTGCCTCTTCGAAATCCTGCCTGTACTTCTGGTAGTTCTCGATCCACATACTGCTGGAGTCTAGCTTGTAGGATTTTAAGCATAACTTTTCTAGCATGTGAAATGAGTGCTGTGGTGCAATAGTTTGAACATTCTTTGGCATTGCCTTTCTTTGGAATTGGAATGTAAACTGACCTTTTCCAATCCTGTGGCCACTGTTGAGTTTTTCAAATTTCCTGGCAAATTGAGTGTAGCACTTTTAAGATTTTGAATAGATCAGCTGGAATACTGTCACCTCCACTAGCTTTGTTGTTGCTCAGATTTCCTAAGGTCCATTTGACTTCACATTCTAGGATGTCTGGCTCGAGGTCAGTGACCACCCCATCCTGGTTATCAGGGATGTTAAGTTCGTTCTTGTATAGTTCTTCTGTGTAATTTTGTCGCTTCTTAATCTCTTCTCCCTCTGTTAGGTCCCTGCCATTTTGGTCCTTTATAATGCCCACCGTTGCATGAAACGTTCCCTTCATATCTCCAATTTTCTTGAAGAGATCTCTGGTCCTCCCTATTCTATTGTTTTCTTCTATTTCTTTGCACTGTTCATTTAAGAAGGCATTCTTATCTTTTCTAGCTATTCTCTGGAATTCTGCATTCAATTGGGTGCATCTTTCTTGTCCTCCCTTGCCTTTCACTTCCCTTCTTTCCTCAGCTATTTGCAAAGCTTCCTCAGACAGCCATTTTGCTTTCTTGCCTTTCTTTTACTTTGGTTTGGTTTTAGTTGCTACCTCTTGTACAATGTTGCGAACCTCCATCCATAGTTCTTCAGGCACTGTCTATCAGATCTAATTCCTTAAATCTTTTTGTCACCTCTACTGTATATTCATCAGGGATATGATTTAGTTCATACCCGTGTGGCCTAGTGCTTTCCCCTACTTTCTTCAATTTAAGCCTAAATTTTGCAACGAGAAGCTCATGATCTGAGCCAATCAACTCCTGGTCTTGTTTTTACTGACTGTATAGAGCGTCTCCATCTTTGGCTGCAGAGCACATAGTCAACCTGATTTTTGTGTTGACCGTCTGGTGATGTCCATGTGTAGAGTCATCTCTTGGATTGTTGGAAAAGAGTCTTTGCTATGACCGTCGTATTCTTTTGACAAAATTCTATCAGCCTATGCTCTGCTTCATTTTGTACTCCAAGGCCAAACTTGCCTGTTATTCTGGTTATCTTTTGGCTTCCTACTTTAGCATTCCAATCCCCCATGATAATAAGGACATCATTTTTGGTGTTAATTCTATAAGATGCTGTCGGGTTTCATAGAACTGGCCAATTTCATCCTCTTCAGCACCAGTGGTTGGGGTATAGACTTGGGACTACTGTGATGTTGAATGATTTGCCTTGGATTCGAACTGAGATCATTCTGTTATTTTGGGGATTGTATCCCAGTATTGCTTTTCCTACTCTTTTACTGACTATGAAAGCTACTCCCTGTTTTCTGAGCGATTCTTGCCCACAATAGTATACCTGATGGTCATCTGAATTAAATTAACCCATTCCTGTCCATTTTAGTTCGCTGATTCCTAAAATGTTGATGTTCAGTCTTGTCATCTCTTGTTTGACCACTTTCAGCTTGCCTTGATTCATGGATCTTACATTCCAGGTTCCTATGGAGAATAGATCTTTACAGCACCCGACTTTCTTTTCACCACCAGATGCATCCACAGCTGAGCGTCCTTTCGGCTTTGGCCCAGTCGCTTCACTCTTTCTGGCGCTACTAATACTAGCCCTCTGCTCTTCCCCAGAACCATATTGGACACCTTCCGACCTGAGGGGCTCATCTTCTGGCATCATATTGTTTTCCTTTTAGTACTGTCCATGGGGTTTTCATGGCAAAGATACTGGAGTGGGTTGCCATTTCCTTCTCCAGTGGATCACGTTTTGTCAGAGCTCTCTGCTATGATCTGTCCGTCTTGGGTGGCCCTTCATGGCATAACTCATAGCTTCATCGAGCTACGCAAGCCCCTTCGCCACGACAAGGCAGTAATCCATGAAGGGGAAGTATTTTATGATGTAATTCAAAGTATCATGTCCAATGGATAGGATTTACATTCTTACCTGGGAAAAGCCCACTAATTTTTTTTTGGATGGGTCTGCCTGATATAGTTTTGCTTTCATTTTCTGGATTCATTTTTACAAAAAACAGGGTTGTAAGAGTTGTTGTTGTTGTTGTTGTTGTTGTTATTATTATTATTATTTAATCTTTAGTGAGATTCACAGCCTTTGAGACTGGTTAATAGCTCAGCAGCTCGAGTCCTAACCAAGGACATAGGAACTGTTAAGGTATCGTCGGAGGATGTAAGCTGTTCCAAGTAAGGTGGTTTTTTGTAGAGTCAAAATGTTCAAGTCCGGCAAATTTAGAATTTCTAAATTTTTTTATTATTATTTATAATAATAATAATAATAATAATAATAATAATAATAATAATAATAATAATATAGTAATAATAATAATAATAATAATAATAATAATAATAATAGTAATAATAATAATAATAATAATAATAATAATAATAATAATAATAATAATATTTCTATGCTGCCCACTCTCCGAGGACTCTGAGTGGCTTACACCAAAGACAGTATACTAAATAGCATATTGCCCCCAACAACCTGGGTCCTCATTTTACCCACCTCGGAAGGATGGAAGGCTGAGTCAACCTTGAGCCGGTGAGATTTGATCTGCTCATCTGCTGAACTAGCAGTCAGCTGAAGTAGCTGCAGTACTGCACTCTAACCACTGCGCCATCTCGGCTCTTATAATTGCTTATAGTTGCTATGTAATCTGCAGCTTCTTCTCTTTCTTATAAGGAAAAGGATATTGTCAAGTTTGATTCCTGGTGTTTACATGGACGCAATAAAGCAGCTTTATTGTGCCTGTGGTTTCCACCTTTGCCTGAAATATATTTTGATTTCAGCCCACAACAATGGGAAAGATACTTACCTGAAATCTCCCATCCAACCATTAACCAGGCCCTATCCTGCTTAGCTTCCAAGCTCAGACAAGTGCTGCCACCTATCTATAAAAGAAATAAATCCATTCATCTAAACAGTAGCCACTTTCCCCCAGAATAAGGCAATGTCTTACTTTGTACAAATAAAGCTCTCCTTGCACTTCTGCTTGAGGTGAGATGAGCTGCGACTCGGGAGTTCCTAGGTACGTCTCTTGCAATGGTATCTAGAGAAATATTGTCTGGATAGAAAGAAATGCCAACATTTAATATCCTACCTGGAACTCTTTTTAAAATCTATGTTAACCTTAGCTTTGTCGTACCAGAAACATCCATGCCACCCACATCTCAGATCGTGTCCTTCTATTTCTCAGCAACCCCCCGTCTTTCATCCAACCTAAATAACAAGCTGCAAAACATAATTTTGTATCAGGTAAACCCAATCTTCTTCGTTCCTTTGCGTCTTGTATTGCCTTATTTGGATGTCGTAGTTTTGTTTCCCCTTGCCATAAATATTTAGCTATATACTATATATATTATAGGAAAGGATGAAACAGATACATGGTTGCCTGTAGAGATTCTCAGTCATCCAGGTCATGGTTGTCCCAAAGGTGCTTTTTCAGGAGGCCAATGGGTTTGAAGACGTTTCGCTTCTCACCCAAGAAGCTTCATCAGGTCTGACATGATAGTGGAAAATGGAAGGGGACCCTCTAAAATAGTGTTTCTCAACCTTGGTAGCTTGAAGATGAGTGGAGTTCAACTCCCAGAATCCCCCAGCCAGCAGCGCTGGCTGGGGGATTCTGGGAGTTGAAGTCCACCCATCTTCAAGCTTCCAAGGTTGAGAAACACTGCTCTAAAAGGATGCAAATTACCAGCTGTCTACAAGGAGCATAAATCCTTCCAATCCCCACTATCCTGTCAGAGCTGAAGAAGCTTCTTGGATGAGAAGCAAAACGTCTTCAAAAGAAAAAACAAGGAAATCTAGTTGCCTCCTGAAAAAGCACCTTTGGGAGATATATGGATGCTTATACCACCTTATATGGGAAGGAATGTAGGAAGCTCCCTTAGACAGGTCAGACTATAAGAGGCTATATAGTACTAATACCACAGTATAAAAAAGGTATAACTCCAAAAAAAAAATGCAACATGAATGTTGTAAGAAAATGAGGGAAGTCTAGCACTTTAGGGAACTAGTTAAAATGGAAACCATTGAGGAAGAACACAATGGAATTGTTCTTTCAGCAAAGGTGATGGCTTGGTTCTTCTTTCCATCTTCCCCACTACTGTGGCTGAGGTAAAATGTCCACGTATTTATTTGGCACCTCCTCGGGATCACTGGTAGAAGTTTTGTCCATCACTTACAGGAAGACTGAACTTCGGGCCTTCTGCAAATTAAACTGTGCTCTGCCGCTTGACTGTGGCCTCCATAAATGTTATTATCTCCTTATCCACTTACGCATAATGCAGGAAGGACCAGTTCAGTTAGACACAGAAGTGCCTCCTAGAGCAGAGTGCTCCACGTTCAGCTTCTTTAAATAATCTCGATTACATCATAATCTGTCTTTGCATGAATATCTCATTCAATTCCTCAATGCAACAATGCAGTCATTCATGAATCATTAATCATAAAACTTTCTCAACCTTGTGTTGAAGCTGATGTTCCTTCTTCTGCACGACTCTTGGCCACCATCTGCAATTACAAATTACAATTACAAATATAATTATCTTTTTCCCCTCCTGATATTATTAGAATGCAGCATCATAAATCCAAACACTGGATTTATATTTTCATTCCCCCCAAATATTTTTGGAATAGTCTAAGGAACCTTCTTCTGTAAAAGGTGTATGGAGATGAAGCCAGTATTGTTGATATTTATATATATATATATGGCTCTTATTTATTGCAGTGTCCCGGGGTCATGGGATCGCCTTTTACAACCTTCTGATAAGCAAAGTCAATGGGGAAGCCAGATTCACTGTGTTATACTACCTTTTAACAATTGAGGCGATTTATTTAACAAGTGTTGCAAGAAAGAGCGTAAAATGGGGCTAAACTCATTTAACAACTTTCTTGCTTAGCCAAGTTGAAAACTTCTTTTTAAAAAAGGAGAGGGGACACCATACCCACATCCGTAACTTGTTCCCTGGAGAAGTTCAAGTCAGCAACAGAAAGAAACACATCACCTAGAACAATTTTTACAGATGCCCTTTTCCCTCTCAAAATACCTTCCATGAGCATTAAAGTTTGACGATCTGGAATATTTGATGCAACTGTTTCTCCTTCTATCCCGTTTCCCTGAAAATAAGACCCAACTGGAAAATAAGGCCTAGCATGATTTTTCAGGATGCGCATAATATAAGCCCTACCCCCCAAATAAGCTCCAGTTAAGATCGTCAGCAGGAGGTGATTAATACTATATTTTCCCCAAAATAAGGCCTAACTGGAAAATAAGGCATAATGCGTCTTTTGGAGCAAAAATTAATATAAGACCTGGTCTTATTTTGGGGGAAACGCAGTATCGGCATTTTAGAATTTTGAGTGCATACCCCAGAAAGTTCAGACATATCCCATTAAAGCAGACACTGTAAATCTTAGAAAGGAGTAAAATCCGTGTCCCCTGATTTCCTTTTGGCACAAGACTGATAGGTATTTTAAAAAAGGAGTACCTTTTTAATGAGCCTCGACAGCTGCCATTTGACCTCCCAGCAGGGATCGCCATCTTCTTTATCATTTGGATCCATATCTTCTAGGAAAAAATTTTCTCTGGTGAAGCAAGCGAAGCTACTCTTTGCGTAGGTGTCTCGGAGCTGTGTTAGAAAAACAGGGGAAGCCAAGTGTTAATTTAAATGAATGGAACTGTAGAGGCAGGAACACATTCAGTAAGAATAGTACAGTAACTGAATATCGTCAATATTTATTTTGGATACAACATTTAGATATCAAAAAAAAAAAAAACCAACTTCCATTTTTGTTATCGGTGTTGGGCTGCTAGAGAATCCCAGCTTACATTTTAAACAGATTTCATTATTTTATTCTTTTTATCAAGCCGCTGGTACTGGTAACAGGAAGCTACTATCAACCCAGTTCTATCTGTTCAGTCTAGCACAGAGACTTAACAGATCTCTGCTTTCCTCTTCTGCAAATTTCAAACTTCAACTATGAGATGCATTCATTCACAATCCTTTGCGTGGGGATTTTAGCAGTTTTATCATTGATCTACACTGGTGATTTTGCTGAAATTCCCAGGTTGTAATAAAACCCTCAACCATTATTTGATTTTCCAGGCAGGCTGACACGTCTGATCAGAAGCAAATCATACTATGTTAAATCAAACTTGTCATCACAGGTATGTATGTGCAAACTAACTAGAAAGCCGATCTAATTAAACCAAGTAGGTGACCCAGGAGTTTCCATTTGATTTAAAATGTCAATTGCCCTTAATTCCAGCTTCCAGTGGCAAAGATTCAGAAGTCCAAAACTATAGAACTGCCCTAATAATTCCCACTGGAATAGGAATCTGGAATAAACTTCCCTCAAATTGTAGTCTTTGATGCTTTTAGGGGCTTTCCCATAATGGTGTCAAATCCATCTGAAAAATAATTGACTAAATATATACATTTTTTTATTTACATAACTTTATTCATCTACCTTAAGAGACAAAACAAGCAGGAAAAAAATCAGGAAAGAAAGAAAATAGGGTACTATAAAATACAACAGAATGGGAACCTTCCTCCCAAAAGGTCTTCCCAAATGAAAAGCAAATTTATTCATAGAACACTATAATTATAATGCAACGGAACAAAAACATTGTGGTCCAAAACAAGGAATCCAACGAAAAACAAAAACAAGTTGAACAAAACAAGGAAGTCTTATTTTCCTTCCATCTGCCATTTCCCCCCTCACAATCATCTCAAAATGACAAATGGGTTACACAGAAGGTTAGCCATCTTTATAAACAGTTACTGGACCACAAAATTCTCTCTTGCAGGACAGCAGCATCGATCTCCCATGAATTTCTACAAGCTGAGCCTTTGAAATATCTTGATATGCAGTTTGATCACGAAGTCCAAGCCTCAAACCATCAAACTGTCTTCATGGACAAATTATTGAATTTATGAGGAAATTTAGGCCTTCTCGGTCAAAGAAGGACAACTGGTAGCTTGTATGTGGCTCTTGCAATAACCTTCTGCAGATCTAGTTCAGTTTCTTGTTGAATTTGTTATGGTAGGTTTTCTACTGAAATTGACTGGGAAAATGCTACTTTAAGAACTGCACCATTTAAGGTGAGAGTAGGCTAAAAATATGTTTTTCTCCCTTGCATATTTTTTCCATCCTGATCCTGCCTACTATTTGGTGGCATGTTAAAACATTTTGAGTTTGCAACAGCTGTCCCAAAATTACTGGATGCACCGTGCCCATTTTGGAAAGTATCCTAAATTCCAAATACCACATTGTTTAGAGTATAAGACGCACCTTTTATCCCCAAAAAAGAGGGTGAAAATCTGGGTACGTCTTATACTCTGAATGTAGCCCCACCCAGCTTCACAAACGGAGGTTTCAGAGGCTGAAAAAAGCATTAGAAACGAAGCTTCAGAAAAAAAGCCCCCAAACAGAGCTTCAGAAAAAAAGTCTCAGAAACAGAGCTTCAGAGGCTTTTTGTCTGAAGCTGTTTCAGAAGCTTCAGAGGCAGGAAAAAAAAGGGGGGGCATGGAGCTCAATCAACGAAATTGTGCTAAAATTCACCTCTGGGAACAGCTGATTGGGGGGGTATTCTGGGAGGCCGATCTACCCACCAATCAGCTTTTTTCTTATTTTCTTCCCCAAAAACTAAGGTGCGTCTTATACTCCGAAAAAATATGGTAGATCCCTTTGCAGAACGGAAGTATTGAAATACTTCTAATAAGCTCAGAGCAGTAAGTCTTCATCTCGAGACAACTGTTTGAAACTTAAAATATTTCCCTTTTTGTGCAGAACTGGCAGACCATTTAAATTTCAGCTCTTGATCTTAATTGTACGTTTAAATCTATTTTAAAAGGGAAATCAAAGGAAAAAAATACATTAAGGGCTGTTGTGATAATCATGCAATCATGAAAGGTATTCTACTGTATGACTTGGCCTCCTGCACTAAGCAAAATACAGAATTTATAACATGCACACTTTTGAGACTTGAATATTCCAATATTCCATTTCCCGAGTTCTGTTTGAGATTCACCCAGAAGAAAAAAAATCCAACACAAATGTTTTTCATTTGTGATTTTTTTTTGATTGGGCCTAATAAAAGTCCCAAGGCTATTTCAACGTGATAAGCTACTCTTTTGTTCCAAGACCAATCCAGGAGGAACCCAAAATGTTTATCTAGAACTGAACTTTAGCTCTGCTTTAAAAGCTCACTAATGTTTTTTTTAATGTTTTTTTATTTCTCACAAACATGTCTTAAATGTACAGTCTCTTATCAATTGTTAATCATACATATTCTCTTTTTAACTTTCATATTAATTCATTCTTCATCCTAAAAAATTTGAGTATACTCAGTTGAGTATATTGAGTTGTTCTTCTACCATTCCATCTCCCTTATTTTACAACAATCCTTCTTCTCCTTCTTGTCTCTTTCCCTTCCTTCCCTTCTTCTATCCTCTTCTACTTTCTTCTTTCCTTCTCTCCTTCCCCTTCCTTTCCTCCACTAAACATCACTAATGTTATTCTTTCCTTCAGTGGTGAAATCCTTCGCGGTTTGCTACATTTGCTGCCTGCACAGTGTGCACCAAATGCACGCCGCACACGGAAAAAGGAGGCTTAATGTAAGTGGAACAGCAAGGGGTGGGGGAACAGCTGTGCCGCGCGATTTAGATTTGCTAGAAAGCAGGATTTCCTGCTTTCTAGCAAATATAAATTGCGCAGCACAGCTGATCATTGGAAATACTGGTAGCTTTTTAAACTACTGGTTCGCCTGAACTGGTAGCTTTTATTGCTACCGGTTTGCTCAAACCGGTGCAAACCGGTAGCATTTCACCCCTGCTTTACTTGTACTACTCACCTTCCAGTGGAACTTATTATTTACAGCAATAAGTAAATTTTATTTCTGTTCAATGCAAACTATTTGAATTCCATTATCTCACAGAGAGTGAGAGGAACGGTAGCTGGACAGGAGTGCATGGGCTTCTAGAGCACAGCCTTTCTACAGATGCTACAATGAGGAATGTGATAATGACCTATTAATGGTTTGGGGTGTTACCAGCAGGAAATATTTATAAACTGCTAAATTAGATTACTTTGTTCAGGGAAGTCAAATAAGCAAAACAGCCAAGTTATTAACAAAAAATAAGTAAAAACTTTATTCATCAAAGTTACAAGGAAAAAACATTACTATTCGTAACAACCCGTTTATACCTTCTACCCAAAACTGTAAAAAAAAAAAATCATGGATATTTATAGAGAACCTTGAAAATACTGGATAATGGAACTTTGCCCAGCTTTTGAAGGAAGCTGAAGCCTTCATGTTAATTTGCTTGTAGATCTTCATTTCAACTTCATGGTTGCTATCCATCTGCTCTTCTGTTTACATCTGGTGACTAATCTGTATAAAACAAATTTGACAGTATGTTTAGTTTGGTCTTTATTTGCCCATTCTACTAATTCCCCTCTTGTTGTTCACCCAAGATAAATTCTATAGCATCCCTCAAAATTGATGTCCTAAAATACAAAGGTCTTTGATTACACATTACGCTAGTTAAAAGGGAGAATATCTGTAAATTCTTCACATGGAAAGTGTGCCTCCATCTTTACTCTAAACTAGCTTTTTCTGGCCCCAACCAACCTCACGTAATTCATCCTCACACATGTACATACCTATGCATAAATCAATGAAAGGTGTCATCTTTCCTTCATCGACAGGATTCAGAGTTTTTCCACGCTTTCCCAGTAACATTCTACAGTTATCCATAACTTTCATTCTCCTGCCGTTTCCATCTTTCCATCTCTATTTTCATTTTATCGCTCGGAGTACTTTCATGTAATCCAAATCTGTGCTTTTACAGGTTATCCAGAAATAGAGTTACGGTGGCCATCAATGACAGAAACAATCCCTCGTTCATAACTCACAAAGTGATATATGTGTACAATGGTCCGTGATGCTCCACTCACTGCCATATGATAAAGTTTCAAACACAAGGATAAAAATCAGGGGTAAAATCCAGTAGGTTCTACCAGGTTCTGGAGAACCGGTAGTGGACATTTTGAGTAGTTTGGAGAACCGGAAAATACCACCTCTGGCGGGACCCAGGAGTTGGGAGGGAATGGGGATTTTGCAGTATCCTTCCCTGGAGTGGGATGGGAATGGAAATTTTGCAGTATCCTTCCCCTCCCACGCCCACCAAGCCACGCCCACAGAACCGGTAGTAAAAAAAATTGGATTCCACCACTGGTAAAAATCTGTACAGGTAGTCCTCAAGTTATGACCAGAATTGAACTGAAATTTCTGTTCATGAGACAGTTAAGTGAATTTTGCTCTGTTTTACGACCTTTCTTGCAGCAGTTTTTAAGTGAATCGCTAGTTGTTAAGTTAGTTACAAGATTTTTAAAGTGAATCTCCCTTCCCCATTGACTTTGCATGTCAGAAGGTGGCAGGTGATCACATGACTCTGGGACACTGCAACCGTCATAAATATGAATTAGTTGCCAAGCATCTGAATTTTCATCACATGACTGTGGGGATGCTACAACGGTCGATAAGTGTGAAAAATGGTCCTAAATCATTTTTAGTCCAGTACTGATGTACCTTTGAATGATCACTAAACCAACTGTTGTAAGT